TAGAGGAGGACTCAGAGATGCTTGAGAAATGGCACTTATTTGAAGAGCATGCCATTCCCAAGAAGTCCTAGTTAAAATCATATATTTTACTCATGATCTTCTTTTTTCTTCCAAATTCCTATTAGAAGGCTGGCCCTACTATTAGGTATAGAGAAAGCAAACCCAGAAAATATCAGTGGTGTCCAATCTTTGCAGCCTTAAGATCTGTGGATTTCAACTCACAAAATTCTCCAGCTTCTGGAAATTGAAGTCCTCAAGTTTTAAAGTGGCCAAGGTTGGATACCTCTGATCTAGATGAACAAATATTCTTAGTTTCACACATTCTCCCATGCCCCCATTGCCCCAGTATACCAAACAGCTTTTGAAATCCTCTAACTCAGGGGTCTCCAACTTTGGCCGCTTTAAGCCTGGTGGACTTCAACTCCCAGAATTCCCCAGCCAGCAAAGCTCTAACCATCTAAGCCAAGTCCACATTATATTTTACCAAAATGTGGGCATCTGAACCAGTCATTGGACAGCTTCCTATATTTCTAAATCTCCCTCTGTTAAGGAGCAAAAACAGTAACCTAACGGTGGGGAGAGATATGCTAAGGCAGCACAGCCATGCCCCACATCTGATCAGTAATGCAGAAGTGGCTAAAAGATTGCACTCTGTTGACCACCAAAGGCAATAAAAAGCAAGGGGTTGCCTCTCTTGGTCCCATCACTCAAAGCCTCCATTTCCCCTGGATTATGCTGATGGGGAAAGATCACGAAGCGAGGGTCACAATGTCACTTCCTTGCATATTGTCAAGACGGGAGGAAAAAGAGCGAGACTCAAGGAGGTAGATGGAGGAGGAGGTGTTTGCTGGCAGTGGGGAAAGGCGCCTCACTGGAAAGAAAGATTCCTTCCTTCCTTTGAAAAGCATGGCTACATCAGCGGGCCTGCCTCTCTTTCTCCTTGTTCATAAAGTATTGAGCAGCTGAAATGCCAATTTAATTCTGCACCATGGCATGCTTCCATTCACGCTTCCAACTTAATCCTTTTCATCTAGCTTGCTCGTAACTTCTTGATCTTCAAATCAATTCTGTAAATAGCGGCTGAATATTTCATTCTTTCCTTTGCCTGGTTGGCTGCATTGTGATGGTGAAATTCACCACTTTCTACAGGGCTTGTACAAAAACTGTTTGGCTGAGACCTCTCAGATTCATTTAATGATGCAAGGGAGCCCCAAAGTAGATCCCAGTTAATTCCCAATCTGCCAGGCATTTCTGGGGACGCATTGCTACTTGGCTGGCCAATAATATCCCACATTTATTTATTTTTGTTTATTTAATATTTATTTGCCTAACATGTCAATCCATTTCCAAAGACTTCAGACAGAATTGTCTGTTTTTTGCTGTGGTACAAAAAAGTTAGAAGCCCAGCCTTGGTTCCTGAGACTTCTGCAGTGCATTGGCAGTTTTCTTTGCAAGATTTTTGGAAGTTATTTTTTTATTAGGGCCAAAAGACTGGCCCAAAGTAATCCAGTTGGCAAGTTTAGAATGTATGGTGTTCCAGTTTCTAACCTGGTGTCTTTAACTACTTTACTAAACTGTCTCTCCCAACCAAAAGTAGTCTTCCTATTTGAAAAACTGAAGATTACTTGACAGAGACACACATAGAGACAGAATTGTTCTTGCGGGTGTGCTTATGCCTACAAACATTAGCAAATACCCCTATGAATGCATGGGACTTATTTTCAAATGAATAAATGTGCATTCATGCTGCCTCTATATTAACAGGGCAGCCTAATCCTGAGGAATGCCCCCAGCAGCTCACATTTATCAGATGAGGAAGAATATTTTAAACCTGTCTCTCTGTCTCTCTCTGTTTCTTCATTCTTTGAGTTTGGCAAACCACCCAGGCAAGCTGTTCCACTGGTTAATTGTTCTAATAACTGTCAGGAATTCTTTTTTCTTAACTCTGAGTTGCTTCTTTCCTTGATAAGTTTCCATCCACTATTTCTTGTCCTGCCTTCAGGTGCTTTGGAGAATAATTTGACCCCCTCTTCGTTGTGGTAGCCCCTTAGATATTGGAACACTGCTATCATGTCATCCCGACTCCTTTTCACTACACTAGACATATTCAATTCCTGCAACCATTCTTTGTTTACAGGCAATGAGAAGAATAAAAGATATTCCAGATGGTAAGACAAATCAGGATCCTGGGAATACACTGACTGGGAGATATTTCAAACCCAGAGTACCAATACCCATGTGTTTTCCTAATTCTGGAAGACTACAATATCCTGGGAAGATTAGCGATATCACTAGTATGAACGGGGGATAGGATTTTCCCTGGGAAGAAACAAATTCTTTTTCTGGTGGTGTAGTATAGTTTTAGATTTATTTGTTAGCAGAGGCTGATAAAGCTTTGTTCAAAATGTGTTCAAACTTTGTTCTGTCCTAAAATACACCAGAACCCTGTGCCTCTTTGTCTTGGTAATTTAGTTATCAAGATTTGGAGGTGCAGGTTTTGTGTCTGTTTCTAACAAATGTTTAGGGTTGTATGTTAATGCTCCCAGCAGTGCTTAAAGATTGCCTCTAGCTATCATCTTAACATTTTCCATTGCCCCAGAAGGACATTCTGCTAGAAAAATGGTTCTCTCTCTTACTATTTCTAGTCTTCTGACATTGCACAAGCTGCCAGGTAAGAAAAATAAGCAAGAGACCCTTTCCCCAAATGTTGAGTTCCATCTAAATACAGTTAGCAAAGAGAAATTGTTTATCAGGGTTGAAAAAGACTGTGCAGATTTTAACTCAACAACCTTTTGTGCAGAAGCCCTTGAATGTCCTGGTCATTCCTGCAAAGTACTGAATCAGAATCATAATTGAGAAAAACAACTGCCAAACAATGTTCTTTGGAATTAACCTTCTGGAGAAAAACAAACAAACCAATTTGGGGTGTGCAAAAGTCACACTTCTTCGTAGTTCTTACAACAGCCTAACAAAACTGTACAGAGAGATCAGCAATGAAGACGGCTAACATACTTGGTCTACTGTTTTTTCATTATAGAAGAAAAAAATATAATGTAAAGTTGACCAAGGGCTCTATGGAAACACCTACTTGTTCTTGGAGCAGATTCTAAGTCAACTTTTCCAAATAGTCCATTGAGCATTAGCCTATGCTCAAGTTATCAGTTGGATTACTATTATTGATCCAAGTTACAACAGGGTACTTTGGAACTATGTGGAAATTTTCACAACACAGAAAGTGGAATAAAGAAACTCCCTATTGTTTTTCCCATCTTCTTAAAGAGCAACTTAATGGTCATTTTAGCTCTGATCAGCTGCAATAGGCTTTTAATGAATCCTACAAGGCTTGTAGGCAATACCTTGATCACTAATATTATTTTCATTCATTCCTTTATGACATTTTTATCCTCCTTTTGACCCAGGAGATTTAGGGAGTGCTTTCCCTCAGAAGTAATCTTTTGGAGGACAATGGTGGCAAGCAATGACTGGAGTTAAAATCTAAAAGTAGTTTTTTTTTCCCCCCCCAGACACTTTTTGAAAAAAATTCACAGTGAAATGCCTTTCTCTAATTCTCCTTGTTGTCCATTTCTTTCTCCTCAGCAGCTGGTTCTCAGGAAAAGAAAAACCAGGTCTTAGCAGAGGTCTGAACTGATTGCTTGCAAAGGGCTTTTGAAATTAAGCTGAGGATTGCATGAAATCAGGCTAAGGGCCAGAGGTTGCACACTTCTGGCTTAGGTCATCTTCCACCTGGACTAGCTTACTCGCACAATAACATTTCATCAGTTTTGGATGGAGTACCAGCTGTGACCTTCCAAGATAGTCCTGCCCTCTACATCATTAACCCTGCTCCATTAACATCCTGTTTGGACTATAGCAATGCCTTAAAAGAGGAGCTGTGAATGGCTAAGAGTCATCTCAAGGAGCATAGCACTTGCCTGGTGAATAAAGGGAGAATTGGGGGTTTGCCCTCAGGTTGCTTTGACGAGCTTCCTAGGAACATCTGGCTGATCACTGTAGGGAAACAGGGTGGAATAAATCTTTGATTTGATCCTGCAGGGCAGCAGCATCCTTTTTCACAGAGTACAGATAGATTGAAGAATTGGAGTGGGACAAATAGCTGTGCCTTGTTCTCTCTGCATTCACAGGGAAAACATTATGGAATTTGGGAGGAAAGACATTCTTAACTTCTTCCATATAGGTTCTGCATGTATAGGTGTGGGTTTTGTGAAAAGTTGTGAGAAGAAGTTTCAGAAAAGGGCTAGGAAGTGAACAAGTGAGAGTGAGAAGTAAAAAGGAAGAATAAAAAGGAGGAGGAGACAATTCATAAGCTCATCTGGTAGCAGATCTGGATTAATAATATTGGAAAAAGCTGTCCTAGTGATGCAGAGCAAGGAACTGAATTCTACACATCCAAAGGAAACTGTGATTTCTGTAAAACAGTCATCAGAGGGAGCACTTTTGTATGTTTTTTAAAAGCATCATGCTTTTTAAAAACTAATCAGTTAAATTGTTCAAAGCCACAGGAACAGATTTCTTCCTGCAGTTATAATACTCTGAGTATCTTCAAATTGCTTCTTTCATTCGAACATAGCAGCTTCACATTTTGAGTGTTCCATTCTAACAGACCTTGGTGTAACTTTCCTTACACCAACACCCATGTTTCATGGGAACATTACCTGTCCACCTTTCGCCCTCCTGTATATATTGTTTTATGAGTGAGTTCTGATGTGTATATTTATGTGAATATGGAGGCAGATGATCTAAATCATAGTTTTCCCAAAACAAGCTTCTGCAAGAAATCCAGTTATCATTCAGTATACATCAAAACACAGAGTTTCTAATAATCCATCCCATGAAATATCAATATGTGTATTCCTCATCAGTTCCAGGTACAAGCTAGCCTTTTGTTTGTTCACTGATTGGGATGGAAATCAATCCTTTCTGTTGCTTTTTTATGCAAACTGATCAAAATGCAACACTGAAGCATTGTTAAGTGTACTTGCCTTTTTAAATTCTCCCCACTACCAGCCTCACAAAAGCTGCTGCTTCCAGCCACTGCGACCTGAAAAGAGACAGACGAAACAATCGGATGGAGAGAGAGAAAAAGGGATGTTTCTTCATTGCAAATTCCAACACTCCCCCCAAAAAAAAGCCCTGCAAAAGCAACATAAATTTAAATACAACTATGGTGATTTCTACCCAAATCTGCAAAGAATGCTGCTATAGTCCACAGATAAGCCAAAATAGGTTGCTGATTGTTTTTCATTTTCATTTAAAAAAATGAGCTAGATGGAAGGCATGGAAAACCTTGCAAAAACTTCCCCACACCCAGAGTGACCCCATTTAGCTCTCCCCTCCTTTGAGAAAGACTAATTTGTTAGGGCCAATTTCGGGATGGAGAGGCCCTACTCCATCCAGCTGTGTCAAGCAACCTCTTATCTGGTTTTTCTATCCACCCAAAGGAACTTTCACTGTTTCCTTGGGGGGCTTGCATACACCAATGTTTTGTCTAGAATTTACATCCTTGGCTCAGCCTGTTATTAGAAAAAATGCAGACCACACTGGTGGTTGTACCAAACGGTTGTACCGCATTCCATCTGTTTCTCTGCTGTTGTACCCATGGTGCAACTCAAGCCGTGGTAGGACAAAATATACTTCTTGTGGGCTCGCTTCCCAGTTTCCTACCCTCCAAAATTTCTCCCTCTTGACATTCTCCCTTCCTCCAGTATCTGCTTCAGAGTCCCCTTTCTCAGAGTCCCCTTTCTCAGAGTCCCCTTTCTTCCAAATCTGGACAATAGCAACTCTAGCAATTTCACTCTTCTAAAATCATTAGATTTAATTTGATGATTAGACGGGATTACAGTTTCATTTAGTAGACTTCATTTCTCTTAAGGACTGTGAAAGAAGGAAAGGAGGAAGGAAAGACAGTTGAACGAAAAAGCATTTAAAGGAAGAACATTCATGCCCACAAAACATGGACATGCTCTCCGGTCACTCTGTAACTAAGTAAGCGCAAGAACGCTTCACTCCTTCCATGAAAATTTGGGAATTTTGTTTCTCCTTTGAAAGAATTCTGAGTACAAATTCAATCAAATGAATGAGAACAGGGTGTTTTTTTTTTTAAAAAAACCCATGCAGGATACTTTCTTCATCTTGCACCTCTCCAAAATAGGATTTTACTTCTGCAAAGCTAAAGCACCATTTAGAACCTTTTATATTACAGTACTTGCTCTACTTTTCCAACCTCACCTGTGGAATTCCTAACAATCTACCATGCTGATGGATCAGAAGAAGGGCTAGAAGGCTAAATGTGTTTTAAAATACCCTCTGTACAATCCCAGCCACAACTGAAGAAAGGCCTTCAGCCCATTAATTATCTAGCTTTCCTACAGTTATGTTTAAATACATTTGCATGTTGGAAAAACTTCAATAAAAAGGTCTTGCTTTTAGGAGATCCTTGAGTGAGGTGACAAGTTCTCTTTGTGATTCATAATTGTATGCAGAAAAGGTTGCTATTTTCATTGCTTTACTGATGAATGGACCCCATTAGGTTTAAGGAAAGTTTATCTGAGCTTGAGCAATTAAAATAGTATTTCTAAGGTTCTACTGTCCCACTAGGCTGGTGTTTACTTTAAATACTTTAACTTTCACCCTTTTTCACAACGTTAATGAAGAATTTCTGATATAATACAGAAACAGTTTATAAACTATTTGGCTCAAATAAACATATTATAGAAATCACAAAAAAGAAAGCCATTGCAAGAAACAATGTACAATTAATTGCTCTTTTTTTACTGTCAAGCTTTCATTAGTTTCCAAGGTCTGTCTCCGAGATCAGGCTTTTGCTTCTATGAGAAAGCAAGATAGTTGAGATGCTAGACTAGAAACCAGGAAGCCTTTAGGAATTGGCTGGATGACTTCAGTCCAATCAAAAGGTTGTGGGGCAAAATAGGAGGAGGGAGCATTCTGTATTTTGCCTTGACTTGTACAAAATAAAAATGGGATTAAAATATAATTTAAAATTATTCTTAGCTGAGAATTGCCACCATATTAACATTGGACATTTAATAATATGCTCAACACTGTGAGTCTTCTGGAAGGGCTTAAGGCTTGGCTGGAGGTTCCTGAAGGCATTGGGCCCAGGATATTAAGTTGAGGGCAGTGGGTGAGCTTAGTGAGGTTCCTCACCACCATCAGATTTTATATTTGGAACTTTGGTTTCACTGCATGCTTTCTCTCTGCTTGATGTCTCTTTCGTTCATTTTTCCAATAAATGAGCAAAGAAAGTGTTTCAGATTGAAATATTCCTGCTTAATCATATCTTGTCTGCCAGCGTACCACACTTTGACATTTAGGTGCAATGAGTGATATGAAGGCAAAACGGAAAGTGTGAAGGTATGGCAACAGTCACCACTGTTAAACTACCAGTATAGCTCTCTTCACTTGGGCTGCCCAAAATGGCCAAGGCTTTGAGCCTCCAATAGCGAGAACGGCAACTGGAGAAACCAAGGGAATACACTTTTCAAACCATGATAAGAGCAATCTCCATAAATTTAATGGAAATTCTTTCTGAACGTTGTGCAATTAAGTGTTTTTTTGGTAGCAAAAACTCAGAAAGAGAATGTCAGCCTTCAAGATCTTTTCTACTTTCCTATTGCTTTCTACTGCTTTGCATCTTTTGGCTGCCATGAGTAACGGGGGGAGGAGGGGTTGCATCTTGTGGGAAGAGAACTGGAGGTGTTACATTCTTGTCTTGTATAAATGAGGAGTCGGGGGGGGGGAGTATAAATTCCTGCTCTTAAGTTTCTATTTCCTTGCTTAGCTTTCTTTCTTTTGCGCAGCTGCACGAAGTTTTATCAAAATATGTCAAGGTCACCGGACAGAGGCCTCATCACCACCTGAAGATGCCCACATGATCATATTCAGAACTTTTAATTGGAAGAGTCTTTTGGACTTTGGTGGGTGGGAACAATTCCATCCCTTTGTATATGTGAACTGCGCGCCAAATTCCTTAGATTCAGAATTCTACCTGTAGCTTCCACTTTGAATTTCAGTAAAAGAAAAACTTTGCTCAAATCTATGGAGTCTAAGTATTTCTTTCTTGGATTTTGAATGGAGCACAGACTGACAGAGAAACTATCCCACAGGCAAATAAAAACCAACAGCAAACTCTGTCCTCCTAACCTTTACCAGTGCAAGTTTAGTCCATGAAGGTCAGAGGTACTTACTCCATTTAGATTTAGACTAACAAGAGTTGGAAGGGACCTTGTAAGTCATCTAGTCCAACCCCCCCCCCCAAGCAGAAGACCTTACACCATTTCTGACAAATGGCAGTCCAATCTCTTTTTGAAAGCCTCCAGTGATGAAACTCCCACAACTTCTGAAGGCAAGCTGTTCCATTGGTTGATTGTTCTCACTTGCAATTCTCTTATTTTTTCTAGGTTGAATCTCTCCTTGATCAGTTTCCATCCATTATTCCTTCTCTGGCCTTCAGGTGCTTTGGAAAATAGCTTGACCCCATCCTCTCTGTGGCAGCCCCTCAAATACTGGAAGACTGCTATCATGTCTCCCCTGGTCCTTCTCTTCACTAGACTAGCCAGGCCCAGTTCCTGTAACAGTTCATCATATGTTTTAGTCTCCAGTCCCCTAATCATCCTGGTTGCTCTTCTCTGCACTTTTTCCAGAGTCTCAACATCTTTTTTATAACATGACCAAAATTGGATGCAGTACTCTAAGTGTAGTCTTACTAAGGCTTTATAGAGTGGCATTAGTATCTCACTTGATCTTTATTGTATCCTTCTGTTAATGCAATTTAGGATTGTGTTGGCTTTTTGGGCTGCCACTGAACACTGCTGGCTCATATTTAGCTGGTTGTCCCCTAAGACTCCAAGATTTTTCTCACAGTTACTGCTATTAAGCCTGGTTTTACCCAGTCTATATGTGTACTTTTTTGGTTTTTCTTACCTAAGTGTAGGACGTTACCAGGGGTGGGATTCTACAGGTTCGCACCTATTCGGTAGAACCGGTTGTTAACATTCTAAGCAGTTCGGAGAACCAGTTGTTAGAAGAAATTACTGGCCTAATCCTGTAAGGAAGACAGGAAGGAAACATTCTGGTGTTGCTTACAGAAACTGCCTCTCCATTAACTCTTATTACATTCCTGGCAGGACTAGACTTCCTGTCTCAGGAACGTCTCTGGAGTTTCCCCCCCCCTCCTTTGCTGGTACTTTGCTTGTGTGGAGTGACCATTCAAAGTTACAATGGCACTGAAAAAAGTGACTTATGACCATTTTTCACACTTACGACTGTTGCAGCATCCCCACAGTCATGAGACGCCAGGCGTGGAGATGCGTGCCTCGATGTGAGTGATATTGAGTTGGCCATGCCCAGCCAGTCACATGACCACCAAGCCATGCCCACCAACTAAGCCACGCCCACAGAACTGGTTGTTAAAAAATTTGAATCCCACCCCTGGACATTACCTTTTTCTACATTGAATTTCATTTTATTAGATAGGGCCCAGTGTTCAAGTCTGTCAAGATCCATCTGGATCTTGAGCCTATCATCTAGGGTTGTGAAGTGCTGTATGATTACTTAAAACATGAGATCATAGATTTGTGTCTATGTGTAAAATATGTATATTACACACTCATGTATGTGTGTGTATACACACATATATGCACACATACATATAGTCAAACAAATAACTTTGTTAAATGTTTTAAGATTTTCTCATATGAGAATCCATTAAGTTTAAGAGTTCCTTCACCTTTGAAAGTTTTAGGGTAATCTCAGATCAAAGTACTATTTTCTATTAGACCTGAACCCAAATCCATGGCTTGACAATGCTGAAACAGTTCAATCCTGGCTTATTATATTCAAATATGATTTGAACAAATGACTCCTTCAAGTCCTGATATGTAAACAGAACTTGAAGATTACTCTGAATCAAAGAAGCTTTATACTATGGTGTGCAAACAAGAGTACAGTATATGAAATAAACATCTCACGTTCAGAGCATATGTTGTTTACATATGATCCAAGCTTGTCTCTCATTCCCCT